TAATAATAAAGCACACACTAAAGAATACCTCAATAACTTTGAAAAACTAGAAAACTATGTAAAGCATGGTAAAAACTGGCTTTCTGCCATACTCCACCAATCACTGAAGGATTCCTATTTGTTTTTGATGCTGCTGGGTAAAATTATATAAGAAAGGACTTGACAACTTTAAAACATTTAAAACTACATTAAATTACTCAAAACATGACAATCTGTCCAGCCTTGCAGTTTTCTAATCCCTTTTTATAGAGAAGTCAAGGGAGAAGGTCAAAGTACTTCATAACGTCAGATGTCACATAAGAGGTCTTCCTGGCTCCTCACAATCTCAGAAAAAATATAGGATATTATTTGGGCAGTAGGTAGTTTTACTGCATTCTCAAAAAAAAAAAGCTACCTTCTGTTTGTTTTCTTTTATGTGGTCGACTGCTAAGGGCTAGCCTAATCTAGCCTCCTAACATACTCATGTAGTTGATTAGGTTAAGGCTGGTTGAACAGATTAAAAATTATATAGCTGGCTCTCCGTATCCACGGGTTCCACATCTATGGATTCAACCAACCTCGGATCAAAAATATTCAGGGAAATGTTGCATCTGTACTAAACATGTACAAACTTTTTTCCTTGTTATTATTACCTTAAACAATACAATATCACAACTATTACATAGCATTTACAATGTATTAGGTGTAAGTGATAATTTCAAGTACTACACAGGAGAATGTGCTTAGGTTATTTTATGCAAATATTACACAATTTTATATAAGGGATTTGAGCATCTGTAGAGTTTGGTATCCTCAGGGGTTCCTGCAATGAATCACCCAGTGATACTAAGGGATGGATACTGAGGGATGACTACACAAGAGCAGAGCATTGCTGGAAGCACTACCATGATATATGTATATTTTGTACACATTACACACACACACACACACACACACATACACACACACACACACACAAAATGAAATTAACAAGACTCAAAGAAACATTATTAAAAATTTATCTAAGCGACACAGAGTATTTTCCATCTTATACTATACAATCTCATCATCTAAAAACAGTCCTCCAAAGGATGATCCTACTCCTTGGACTGCCCTGTCAAAAGGACTGATCTCATAATAGAAGCAAACCTAGAAAAAGAAAAAAATAAATCAAAGACAGGATCCTTTTGAAGCTTTTCATTTTAACAATCTTTTTAAAAAGTTTTCTAAAAATATGAGATAATGCCAGGATCTTTTCCTTCCATTCCCATGCGTACCACTTAAACCTAACTTCATCTAAATGTGATTTAAAAACCTGATTCAGATATAAAGATTATATGTGAAATGAAAAAAAAGACACTACTTGAGTAAAAAGTTATCTACCATAAGAAATGAGGAAAACATCTGGAACTCAATTTACAGATAGAGATAAACTTTCCTAATGCATGAAGAGCTCTTTGGAATCAATAAGAAAAAGACCAAGAGTCTCAACAGGAAAATGGGTAAAGATAAACAGTACACTGATAAAGAAATACTATAAGTGCCTCTCAAGCATATGAAAAAATACTCAATATCACTCATAATAAAAGGAATGCAAATTAAAACTACACTGAGATCCATTTTATATCTATTAGATTGGCAATGATCAAAACATTTGAGAACATAATCTTGGTGAAGCCAATGGAAAGTCTCATATTGCTGGTGGGTGTACGGATTAAAACAACCTCTGTATTAGTTTTTCTCATTTGAAGAAATCCTTGTAAGATGTTTAAAAATATAGCATATAAGATATATTTAGCCTGGTATGGGCTGCTGGTCATTCTCAAAAATTTGCTATAGTTTTCTGCTTTTATATAATTCTGTTCACACAATGAAGCAGACAGGCCACTTTTAAAAACCTGGATGATTGGCTGGGAATCGTGGCTCACGCCTGTAATTCCAGCACTTTGGGAGGCTGAGCCATGCAAATCACTTGTGGTCAAGAGTTCGAAACTAGCCTGGCCAATATGGTGAAACCCCTCTACTAAAAATACAAAAAAATTAGATGGGCATGGTGGTGCATGCCTGTGATCCCATTTACACAGGAGGCTGAGGCAGGAGAATTGCTTGAACCTGGGAGGCGGAGGTTTTAGTGAGCTGAGATAGCGCCACTGCACTCCAGCCTGGGTGACAGAGCGAGATTCCATTTCAAAAAATAAAAAGAGAGACAGAAAAAAAAAAAAAAAAAAACCCTGAATGATTAACACAGTAGTCTTGCTCCATCTGCTGCTCACCTCTTGATACCTTATTGTGCACTTAGTGGGTACTCAGTAAATATTTGTTGAGTTGAATGAAACTAAGATTAATGCTGAAAGATGATGAAGATGGAATAAAAATGAGTAAGAACAAGAAATTAACTAAATTTATCTGAACTCTTGAATAAATTGCTTATACAAACACTACTTCTTCAAGAAAGGGGCAATGCCACACTGGCAAATGCTTCCTGAAAAATGAGTTAGCCAACAGCAGTTGTATAATAGACTGTTGCAGTAATAGCCCCCTAATTCAGCCACACTCCATTAGGAAATCCCTCCCATACCAACTCTGGAATTGGCCATGTTGATCTCCTTTGGCATATGGACAACAGAAAATATATGAGGCTTGTCATCACTAGTTACTTCTGTAAACCCTACTACTGCCTCCAGGTGAAAGAGCCATGCCTAGCCTGCTGGAAACACATGATCCCCATTCCCCAAGCCAACAACCAGTACCAGTTATCCAGACATAGCTATCCTAGACCAACCAGCTCCCAGCTGACCCATCAGCTGATTGCAGCCCATAAGGCCAGACATAAGCTGTAGCAGAATTGCTTAACTGAGCCCAGTCCAGAATCTAGGCTAACAAATGTCTCTTGTTTTACACCACTAAATTTTGGGGAGGTTTATCATACAGCAAAAGCTGATCCAAGTAGAGAGGGGAACAGGTGGTCAAAGAAGATTTTTCCCTTACCTGTTCTGCTTTTTAAATTTCTCAGTGAGAATATATCCACATACTATTTAATTACACTGAACTTATAAAAACTTATATCTGATTGATACTATAATCCTAATATCACCTTGTAAACACATATACATAATTCAGTCCAAATAGGAGCATGAATTTGAGAGAACACATTTAATATTACTCAGAAAAAAAAAAATGGGTTAATAGAATACCAAGGTTTACTATCACATACACACACAAACATGAATAAGAATATATTCACAGTCACTGTCACATCTCAATAATGGCTACTATCAAATTCTGTTAAGTGTTAGAAGACACTCCCTCTCAGACTTTGCTTCACTATTTCTTCTGTTTAAGTGGGTAATGGCCTAATACATGTTTTCTCATTTAATCCTCACATGGTATGAGGTATACATTATGCCACATCACTTCAGGCAAAGTTATTAACGTCTCTATGCCTTATTTCCTCACCTTTAAAATGGGGATTACAGTCCTATTTTACAGAACTGTTGTGAAGACTAAATCACTTATAACAGGGCACAAAGTCCTTACTCAATAAATGGTTTACCACCTTTTTTAGTAAAATGATGTAAAATTAAGGTCTTTATAACAACATGGCTTCTATGTTCAAAACACTAAGCATTATCAACTAAGGTGTGAGACATCATATTTAATTTGGATACCTTTGTAATGACTACATTAAAAAATTAAAAGACAAGCCAGGGTGTGGTGGCTCACACCTGTAATCCCAGCACTTTGGGAGGCTGGGCGGGGCAGATCACCTGAGGTCAGGAGTTCGAAACCAACCTCGCCAACATGGTGAAATCCCATCTCTACCAAAACTACAAAAATTAACCAGGTTTGGTGGCACATGCCTGTAATCCAGCTACTTGGGAGGCTGAGGCAGGAGAACCACTTGAACGCAAAAAATGGAGGTTGCACGGAGCTGACATTGCACCACTACACTCCAGCCTAGGTGACAGTGAGACTTCATCTCAAAAAATATATATATATATATATATAAAACACAATGTTATTAGACAACTAAACAAAACCTAGGAATGTATGTAGAAAATATACGGTGATGAGAGGTGAAGCACTAGGCAGTAATAAATCATTTGGTACACATTCCACAATCCTAAGTAGGTTTAAAATACAAAGGCTTCCATTTTTGTGTGTGTTAGAAATTCACAAGAAAAGAGCAATAAATCCTATTGACATGTCACCTTTACTGTGACATCTAGCATACATACTTTCAACATGTTCTATCACTATTTTTTTTTAAAGGCACTACTGATGGCTTTGGAAAATAAGGCTCTTTTCAGGCCCTGATGGACTACTTATAAAAAATAGCCAAATTTTTAAAAAGTGTTTTAAACAGGCAATTGCCTAGCCTGTAGATATAAGTCACTAATCAAATGTGAAAAATCTCATACCACAATGTGTGGATGTTTTTAGTTTGTCCTAATGTGAGAAATAAATGCTACAAAAATTCCATTTTTCATTTCAATTCAAACATTTTAAAGAGCACTTAGTATATGAGGTAATGTAGCAGATTCTGGAGCTAGATGGGTAAAGAAAGTAACATTTACGTTACTGTATATGCCAGACTTTTGTCGTTTATCTTATTCAATCATAATAATGCTGTATTGTAGAAATTATTAAAACTCACTTTACAGAGGAGGAAATTAAGGCTAACATAAGTATAATAACTTGCTCAGGGTCTCTCAGCAACAGAAGGCAGTGGGGTTGAGAAGCATGAGGTGAGGCCCATGAGGGTAGTGCCACATGACTATTCTTAGAGACAAACACAATATTCAGTGTAATCAATCCTTTAACAGCAATGTGGAAGGGGACTAAGACTTGGAAAACCAAGGAGATAATCTTTGGGGTTGGGCAAAGGAGTCACAGAAGGCTTTAAAGAGGATGGTATTCAAGTTGTTACTTTAAGGATGAGTAGAATTTACCAACTTCAATGCCAAGGCTCACCCCCACCCCCCTCACCCCCAATATATTAACCAAAATAAATTACTTACTTGAAATTGAGAAAAACAATTTTGAGAGAAATCTTCCTCAGATATATTAGTCCATAGTTTTAAAACAAATAATATGATGACAGTTTAATTTTTAGGTTGCTTTTATGTGGCTTGTCTTGGGTTTTATTCTGAAATGAAATTTAGATTAGTCATTTTCTTGTTCTGAGAAACTAGGAGTATGCCAACATGTTTTAACTTTACATTTTTCACATATCAACATGTATTCTTATTTACAAAGTCTTTCATTTCACCATCTCAAACAAAATCTAATTTAATATATAAATTACTTTGAAGTGCAAATGTATATGCAAAATAAGATATTTCTTTTAATTATTGTTATATTTCCTTGGTAATTGTAATAAATGGAAGAAAAATAAAAATCTTGTGAGCTGTTATATATTACACAAGGAATTTTTGAGGTAACACACTTTCTTTTATTATTTGAACTGTTTATATAGGAATGCTCTCTGAACTCAAAGAAAATTAAACAACTGCCCCAAAGTAAATTGAGCTCAAATTGTTAGTATTTCCCAAAACTATCATCTAAAAAGAAAATAAAAAAGCCAAAAAAAAAAAAAAAAAAAAATTTCAATTGACAATTACTACTCATTTTTCTCAGAATTTACTTTGCTAAATGTGTATTTTATTTCTGCTGCAGAAAACAGTACAGTTTACCAATACTGATTAAGCAACAAAGTATTTTTCATTTATTAAGTGAAATATTTAAAAACCTACAGAGAACTGGAAGAAACACCAAATCATCTGGAAAACTTAGAGGGAATGACAGAAAACACACACCACCCCCCCCCCAAACAAACAAACAAAAATACCAAAAAGGTTAAATAGGCTGTCATTAAAAGGGTCTCACTTTTACTTATAATTTGTTTTGGTCTCAAAAATGCATCCACATCATGTTTGGACAGTAGATAGAGTTCTTTATAATTGCCTAAGACACTCACTGCCTTATGTGTATTTACATGGAAATTGCAAGTTAACAAAATTTACCCAAAGTTCACTGTTCCCTACCTCCCATTATTCCCTCTTATTTAGTATCACTATAGTGCCAAAATGGCAGCCAGATACCAAAATAAAATACCCCATACCATAGCCCATTTCTCACTTTATAAATAAGTTTCTAACTATTTCTTTGAAATATCCAGCACCAATGGCAACATCCTCTAAAATCTACTTTAACCTAACCTATTTAAACTTGAATCATTTTTCACTTAGATTATCATTTTTTGTTGTTGTTGTTTGTTTTTTTCCTAAAGAGACGGGGTCTTGCCATGTTGCCCAGACTGGTCTTGAACTCCTGGGCTCAGGCAATCTTCCTGCCTCTGCCTCCCAAAGTCCTGAGATTATAGGCATGAGCCACCACGCCCAGCCCTAGATTATCTTTAATTGAATGAATTCTAATCCAATCAAAAACAAGATGAGAGAAAATTTAATTACAGCGCCAGAGGAACTTGAAAGGTCTCATATATTCCCTACTGTTTTGGAAATTGAATACATATGATTTTATACCCATTTTTGTTTATATTTGCCCTAAACTACTTTTGCTATAATCTTTTGTTTTCTTTTTCTTTTTTTTTTTTTTTTTTTTTTTTTTTTTTTGAGACAGAGTTTCACTCTTGTTACCCAGGCTGGAGTACAATGGCGCGATCTCGGCTCACTGCAACCTCTGCCTCCTGGGTTCAGGCAATTCTCCTGCCTCAGCCTCCTGAGTAGCTGGGATTACAGGCATGTGCCACCATGCCCAGCTAATTTTTTGTAGTTTTTAGTAGAGACGGGGTTTCACTATGTTGACCAGGATGGTCTCGATCTCTTGACCTTGTGATCCACCCGCCTCGGCCTCCCAAAGTGCTGGGATTACAGGCTTAAGCCACCGCGCCCGGCCCATAATCTTTTGTTTTCTTAAAGGATACAGCTCAAATCACCAAAAAACAAATCCTACTACAATCTATTCTAGATTATAGAATATTAATAATATTATACGAGAAGATTCTAAACACTATTAGACACAATAGGGTCTCATTTCTAAACTACATATGTGCAGTTCTTTTAATAATTCCTCCGAGGTTCTGTATTTTTGTCTTTCAATTATCAATGCCTTCTTCCAATATTCCCTCATGCTTGCGGGGTGGAGCAGGGGAGTCAGTGTGAGGGATGAGAGCTGAACAGTCAAGATCCAAGATCCCCAACTTTCAAACCCAGCCTCACACTAACCAACTACAGGACACTGGACAAATCCCTGAGCCTGCTATGTAGATTTCAGTTTTCTTTATATAAAATGAGTACATTTGATGCTTTTCAACCCTTTTTAAACATTGCAAATAAAATCTGTTTTAGCACACTGGAGAACAGGAGGGCATTTGGAAGCATCTACATAGTGCCTGGTGAAAAAAAAATCATATTTTCTAAATATAGTAGAAAAAATTGAAAGTATTAAGGTAGATACTTTTTGATATATGTAATGCTGAAATTTTTAATATGAATTTCAAAACCAAACTTTTTCATATCGAGAATATTTCAAAATTAAAATCGTGCTTTATTTCTGACAAACATACATGCACTATTTGGCAGTCACCTTGCAGGGCACATCAAACATACACGGTGAGCAGCATCCAATACAGGTGAATACAGATAGGCCTGGAGCTGGGCCACCAGGGACACCCTCCCTGCTTCCCCATCCTCTCACTGTAAGTGGGTTGCACCTTGTGGTAGGTGGCATGTTCCTTCAGCAACATGAATACAAATTCCAGTAACAGTTCCATGATCCCTTTCCCACAAGAGGTAACTGTACACTGTGGCTGGCTGCTGAAGTAGATTCCAAGTAGTAAAGTACCTCATTTAATGCACTTAAAATATCAAAGGAGCAGCAACTGTGGGTTGTCACTCACCATGCTATCTGTTCACAGGAACCCCAATGCCTTCCTTCAGCCCCCATTCCACTAGGCCTACCCTTCTGTAAGCCATGTAACATCAATTGAAAACTCTGAATTAGAAGACCTCTAACAACATCTAAAGATAAAAACAGTATTGCAGTAATCGTTTGTCTGCAACAATTATTATGGTCTTTTTTCTTTCCTACCAATTCCTGTAAGCAAAACATAACTTAAAAATATTAACTTTGAATAGTATTACATGCACATGATTTTAAAATACTGAAAAATTACCAAACAGTATAAGTTAGTCCACCTTTGTCCTCTAGGCAACCAGTTCTACTCACTGGAGGCAATTACTGTCATCAGACTCTCCTGTATCCTCCCATGCGTATTACATTCTGTATCTGCCCACAGATACACATACATATATATACGGATTTTATTCTAACAAAAATTTTATTTTATTCTAATATATAGGCACATATAGAATATATATAAAATATATATTTTAACCACACTAATGGCAGCAAACTGCACATGCAGTCAAGCCTCTTGCTTTTTTTTTCTCATATATTAGACATGGCACCACAGTAGTACACGTAGTATTCTGTCATTATTTTTTTTATTATTTATTTATTTATTTATTTATTTTTAAAGATGGGGTTTCGGCATGTTGGTCAGGCTGGTCTTGAACTCCCAACCTCAGGTGATCCGCCTGCCTTGGCCTCCAAAGTGCTTGGATTACAGGCGTGAGCCACCACGCCCGGCCTGTCATTATTTTTAAAGGCTGACTAGTATTCTGTTGAACAGACATACCATTATTCACCTAACTACTTCCCTACTGACATATGTTTAGCTTGTTTCCAATCTTTTGCAGTAACAAATAATGCTGCCACAAATATTTTTACATATTTGACATATATGCAAAATCTTCTAGAGAATAAAATCCTATAATGGAATGGCTAGAACAAAATATATCTGTTTTAAATTTTGAAAACCATTTTCAAACTGCTTTCTATATAACATGAACACTTTATAGTCCCACCAGCAATGTATGAGGCTGACCATTTTCTCTTCTTCTCACCATTCCTGAGTTATACTATACATAACCTCTGCTTATTTGATAGGTGGCAAAGAGTATGATGTAGCTTTAATTTACATCTTTATTACATTATAAATTGTACATCTTTTCATATGAATTTTCTTTGCTAATTTTTCTATTGGATTATTCCCTAGTTCTTTGCATTAAGATGAATTTGGCACTTTGTGAAGTATACAAGTAAGTTTTACTAATCTGTTTCTCTCTTAACTTTGATTTTTTTCCCCCATCCAGAATTTATTTTTATGTCTTAAAATCCAACAATCCAGTACACTATGAAAGGTCTTCGCCAATCCTGGATTATGCAAAAAATAATTACCCTACATTTTTTGTTTCTTTCATATTTACATCTTTAACTCCTCTGGAAGCCAACTTGTTGTTTTTCCAGATGACTAACTGGCTATCCGAACACTGTTTATTAAATAATTCTTCTTTTCTTTTCCCTACTCATAAGTGAAGGTGGTATCCATTTTTATATACAGGTTGAATATCCCTTATCTGAAATACTTGGGACCAGAAGTGTTTCAGATTTTTTCAGATTTTAGAATATTTGCACATACATGAGATATCCTGAGAATAGGACCAAACCTGAACATAATTTTATATATTTTTAAACAGTGATACACAGGAAACAAAGTTGTTTTGGTTGTTTTTGAGACAGGGACTTGCTCTGTTGCCCAGGCTGGAATGCAGTCATACAATCATGGCTCACAGCAGCCTTCACCTACTGGGCTCAAGTGATCCTCCTGCCTCAGCCTCCCAAATAGCTGGGATCACAAATGTGTACCACCCTGTCTGGCTAACTTTCGTATTTTTTTTTTTTTTTTTTTGTAGAGATGGGGTCTTTCCATGTTTCCCAGGCTGGTCTCAAACTCCTGGGCTCAAGTAATCCTTCCACGTCAGCCTCCCAAAGTGTTGGGATTACAGGCGTGACCCACCGCATCTAACCTGAAACAAAGTTTTGACTACAAACCATGACAACGAGGTCAGGTGTGGAATTTTCTACTTGTAGCATCATGTTGGTGCTCAAAACACTTCAGATTTTGGAGGATTTCAGATTATGGAGTTTTGGATAAGGGATGCTCAACCTGTATTAAGTTCTCATAAGTTAATACTAGTTAATACTACTCTGTTTTAGTGCTGT